TACAAGTGGGTCACTGTATAATGGATGGTATTAAACTTGAATTCAATGATATAATATCATTTTATAAGAAAAACGATTCTGAGCGGAGACGGTATGTCAGTCTAGGTATAAGACATATTATATACTTATCTATGGTATTAAATTATATGGAATTTATGAATAAATTATTCATTGCCCCTTATAATATGCACAGTCTTATCATTGAGCATACTTCTTATTCCTTGTACTGTGGTAGATTGTATGGATAGGCCGTAATATTTTGATTTTTCAGTTTCATATATCCCCGAATAATATTTTTAAATTACAACAAAAAACCCAAGATCGTTAATATTGATTTTAATATGTAATTTCGTCCAAATTTGAATTTAAAATGTCTGTAAAAAATAACTGTGTTCACTGTTCATATATTTTTCAGATTTTTTGGTTACAATATGAACTATTTATGAGAATTTTTTTTTTACATTTTCAATCCTTAGCTATAAAAACTGAACATTTTATAATTTATTAATTACGATAATTGATAAATTTTGTCAAAATGCGATCTTTAAATGCTTATAAAAAAAAATTATGCCTATGTATTTTTAATATTTTTCAATTGCTATTGTAACAATATATCAGCCTTGTATTAATTTTTTACACTTTTTGGCCCAACAGATATAACTTTATTGATATTTATAGGAAAAAAAAACTAAAAAAATTGAAAATTGAAAATGTCCGTAAACGGCTTAAAAAGAGTCAAAATATTTTCAAAATTGTATGGTGTTTAGGAAATGCTAATATAAACATTCAGTGAAATTTTCATGTATCTACAGTAATTCGTTTTTGAATTACAACAAAATAAGGAAATCGCCACATGAGGAATCGAGTGAATATCCAATGTTGTAAAAATTTGAATTTCAAACGCTCATAAAAATTTAATTTGACTTTTTTATAGAATTTTTTTTTTTTGATAAATGTAGGAAATCTTATAAGGAATTTTGTATTACATTTTCATATCTTAGATTTAAAAAGCAAAATTTTTATGAATTTCTAACTAGAAATAATTTTCAAATTTTCGTGATTTTTCCATATTTTGTCATTTTTTGAACTTTAAATTGTTAAAAAAAAAACTGTGACTAACGATTTTTAATATTTTCATCTGTCTTTGAAACAATATAGTAGGAGCCTTGTATTACATTTTCAAGTATTTTTACTCAACAAATAAATTTTTTTTGATATTCATAAAAAAAAAGGTGGGTAAGTGGATGTCGCTCTGCTGTACAGTATGGCTACAAGTGGGTCACTGTATAATAATGGATGAAATTAAATTTGAATTCAATGATTCAATATCATTGTATAAGAAAAACGATTCTGAGCGAAGACGGTATGTTAGTCTAGGTTTGAGACATATTATATACAAGTCTATGGTATTAAAAAAAAAATTTACCTATAATAAATTCCAAATTAATCATATCACAATATCCACTAGGTACTTATAACACGTTATACATCAATAACAAACCCTGTCCCCTGATACTATCATTGATATATAATATAGTGTACTTTAGAAGTTTCAAGTACCCACGAATAATATTATACACTCACAACAAAATGACTAAAATAGGTATGCTAATTTTTTAATATGTAATTTCGTCCCAAATTTGAACTTAAAATGTCTGTAAAAAATAACTGTGCTCATATATTTTTTAGATTTTTTGGCTACAGTATGAACTATTTATGAGAATCTTTTTTTTAAATTTTCAATCTTTAGCTATAAAAACTGAACATTTTATAATTCATTAATTACGATGGTTGATAAATTTCGAGATTTTGATAAATTTTGTCAAAATGCGATCTTTAAATGCTTATAAAAAAAAATTGTGCCTATGTATTTTCAATATTTTTCAATTGCTATTGTAACAATTTATCAGGAGCCTTGTATTAATTTTTCACACTTTTTGGTCCAACAAATAAAACTTTATTAATATTTATAGAAAAAAAAACTAAAAAAATTGAAAATTGAAAATGTCCGTAAACGGCTCAAAAAGAGTCAAAATATTTTCAAAATTGTATGGTGTATAGGAAATGCTAATATAAACATTCAGTGAAATGTTCATGTATATACAGTAATTCGTTTTTGAATTACAACAAAATAAGGAAATCGCCACATGAGAAATCGAGTGAATATCCAATGTTGTAAAAATTTGAATTTCAAACGCTCATAAAAATTTAATTTGATTTTCTTATAGAATTTTTTTTTTTGATAAATGTAGGAAATCTTATAAGAAATCTTGTATTACATTTTTTTATCTTAGATTTAAAAAGAAAAATTTTTATAAATTTCTAACTCGAAATAATTTGCAAATTTTCGTGATTTTTCCATATTTTGTCATTTTTTGAACTTTAAATGCTTGAAAAAAAAAACTGTGACTAAGTTTTTACCTATCAATTGCAGTATAAAAAATAATTTTTATATCACTCAATGCAAGTTATTTTCAATTGATGTATTGCTATTATTTTCATAAGTTCCTTGTACTTTTGTTGATTGAACAAAAAAATCATGAAGATTTCTATATAATCTCACTGGTCTTCTATTTCTTGAACTATTTTCATAGACTATTTCATTTTTTTCAGCAACTAATTTTGCGCTGTTATTAATTTTATCCCAAAATGTATCGTTACGCATTTTTTGGATATTTTGCTTTGTATTTTGTAACAAATTAACCGCTGAAGATTGTATAATACTTGCGCCTTGAAGTTCTACTGAAGCACAGTGAATAGTTTGTAATAAAATCTCCATAGCATGAGAAGTTTTTATAAATTAAATATTTGAAAATTCTTTTAATATACCAATAGCTCTTGCAGTTTGATCTCCCTGATGACTCAGTATTGATAGAACTTCTAAAATTTCAGTAAAACGCATATTAACTTTTTGTATTGATTTATACCAATATGCCCATCTTGTTTCTACCAACAGCTCCAAATGAATTACAGGTATTTATTTATCTTTTTGAGCTCTGACAAATAGCTCATACCTTGTCTGCCCATTCATTAAAAACTTAATATACAAGTTTTGAAAAAATTACATAAGCGGGTATATTTTGTAGCGTTTGAACTAAACATAAATTTAAACGATGAGCATAGCAGTGGACATAAATGGCATGAGGAACTTTGGAGCATATTCTTTCTTGAACACCGGAATATTGCCCACTCATAACAGAAGCTCCATCGTAGCATTGTCCAATACAGTTCATGATATCCAATTTATTTATTGATAGTATTTAAATTATTTCACTTGCCAAACTTTCAGCATTTGAATTTACCATGTGGTAGCAACAGGGTTGCCACCTTTTTGTTTTTAAAATAAAGTACATCATGACTTATGCAGATTTTTTTGCACCCAAAATAAATTGTGAAAATACTGAACCAAACCAGTAATGAGTAAAGTACAGGACAAAAAAAAACAATTATTTAAACAATAAAAAAATGTGAATTTATTGATATCATACAAACATCATAGAATTAAAACATTGTATTAAGAACTAAGCTTTTTAACAAACTTATAACAATATTTTATTATTACATTATTTCTATAAATATATTATAAATTATTTTTATTAACGATATTTTTAAATGTATACTTTTTATTACTTTTAGCAGCTTTTAGTAATTTTTCATCTTTTAAAATTATCATAAATTTCAGTGCATGTTTCTTTAGCATTAAGAGTGATAATTAATTCGTATTTGATAAGTTCAAGCCTACACTTATTTCTTTCATCTCTATATTTTAAGTTCATCATAGAAAATACTCTCTCACAGTAACTTGATGTTGCAGGAATACTATACATAAAACTAACAACTTTGTAAATATTTTTAAGATGAAAGTTATTATTTTCAAGATTTGCAATTTTAAATAAACTTTGCCATTTATTAATTGTAATATTGAATACTATTACTTCTAAAATAATAATATTATACAATTTGTTTGCGCCGCCGCCGATGCTCGCGCGATTTAGATGGTCGGTCGTGGGGCTTCACAGGCTGACGACATATCGGCCGAACGACCACACACACACACACACACAACACAGACACGCAGTGTCATATTCTTTATTTTTGTATTTGTATTATCTGTTACGTAATAATTTAATATAATATGTAGATTACGTACGCACCATAATCTGCATAGCCGCCGTAGTTTTTCTGTCTTCCTCCGTCCGTCGTCGTGAGCAAACACCGCCGCGGATATTATTTTTTGTAAAAGGCACGAATTGTCAAAATTTATTATATATTGTGCGGGCGCGAATCGCCACTTTTGTATTTATTGTAAGGCGCAAATCGCCAAACATTATTGTTGTGCGTGGCGCTAATCGCCATTTATATTATTACGATAGAATTGAATGTGCATTGTTATTATGATACTATAGGATAGGTAGCAGCTGGCCAGCGGTGCTCCGTCATAATATACTGTGAGTTATTTTATATTTAAATTTTATTAATTGTTATCATATTATTATACTATTTGGCCATATTTACATAATTACTGGCGGCTCAAATATATTGTCAAAAATATTATTACATTGTTTTTGCCTATTGGCTATTGTATTGTTTATTGTGTATTATTTGAAACATATTATTATAGCATATTAATAACATTAAATTTGTGTTGAAATTATTTGCATATTTAAACACATACACATACACACCCACCCATATACACACCTTACACATTACCACACCACATAGCTCGCTAGTATTTGCGCGGCGAACCCAACCAATTCTAGCTGAGCTATAACTCATATACACACAAATATACAGGTCGGTCGGTGTGCGGCATTGGTACAGCGCACGAAGCATTTTAGCGACCGGGCATACGGCCTATAACTGTTGTCGTTCCCGGCGCAAACACAATTTATTAGCGTCCCCACAATATCTATATTCCGTATTAAGAATAATTGATGAACTATTTTCCTCAAGTAAATATTATAAGAAATAAAGTATTTTAGCGTACTTTATTAAGACTACAAAGTCCAAAGTACAGATGTGAAAAAAAAAGTACAATACTTTAAAAAATAGTACGGGTTGCTACCGTAGCAACCAACTGATCTCTCACAAATATTTAATTCTTTGTCTACAAACCGTATTAAAAAACTCATTTGTTCTTTTTTTGATAAGTCTTTGGTTTCATCAACCATAATTGTATAAACGCCAAACTTATTCATAGAGTTTAATATAATCTGCCTTGTACATTGAGCTATACTACTTATAAAATCATTTTGATACTCAGGACTAGTGTAGTTACCGTAACGTGCCTGTAATCGTAATTTTATTTTATCATTAGCAAACATATCTAAAATTTCTAAAAAATTCCCTATGTTTTTAGAAATATCAGACTCATTATGTCCACGAAATGCTAAACCCTGTTTTGACAGAAAAAGTGCCGCCTTTAGTAAGAATTTTAAGTGTTCTCTATTTTCAATAATATTTTGTTGTCGTACGTTATTAACTTGATTAGCGATAGATAGTGAATGGTTTTTTTTAACTAGAAGATAATCGTTCCAACGCTGTACACAAATAACATGAGTCTTACATCTCTGATGATTGTTCAAAGATAAGGTCTGTTCCTTCCAAATTTTACATTTTGAACCATAATTAACAAAACATAAATTACCAGCAGTTTTTCCAGAGGCTATAATGTTGGCAGAAAAATGACGGCACGGAAAACAGAAAATTTTATCTTTTGATACAGAATACTCTATCCAGTAGTAAATTTTATAATGTCTACTCGTAAATCGTCGACCATTGGTAGCGGGGAATAACATTTCTGGCTGAACTAGTTCATCATTTTTTGATAAAGATATATTATAATTTTCTTGAAAAACATTTGTAGGCAATTGAACCTAAGCACAAAAAGTAAATGTTAGTTTTAACTTCTTCAATTATTTTAAATTAGGTAATTATATATGCTGTGAGTAGGGACAGATTTAAAAGGGGGCAGACTCAGGCACCCAGCACTGAGGGCCAGAGGCAGAACCTAATGGTTTTTTTTATACACTCCAGTGGTGCAACTAAGGGGGGGGGGGGGGTTGAACCATGTCGTATCTTTCTAAAATAATAAAAATGTTTGACAAAATTGAATAATTGATTCGATTCAGAACCGAGTACAGCTGCTGTGATATTGTGATAATAAAAACGCCTTATAGTTGATAAGAACAAATCACGTGTAAGCTCGTATCGAGAAGTCACCGTTGCAAAAGATTACCATATAACTGTTCAGGGGGCCAATTCTTGAAATCGTGTTAAACTTTGTCGCATGCGATATAAATTTTATCGCATGAAAATAAATATTTGGTATTCTTGAAAAAAGGTATGACTGTAATCGAACGAAAAACATTCGACTATTTGTCGACTGGGTAAAACTCGGTGACAAGACTATATCGCATGATAATTTATAAATATATGTCATACCAATAATCATTTAATAATTTTAATTTGATAACAATTAACAACTTAAATTTATATAATGTTGTATTGTGATTTGTGGTCCACATTAAAGAAATAAATATCAATACAATTTTGCATAGGTACATTGCCAGCGTCGCGCGTCATCACATTTGTGGACTGTTTTGTTATTACTTGTTTTTTCCCATTTTCTTTAATATTATAATTATAATGGCCAATTTTGAGAAAATGGCAATGTTGTTTGCTGTTAATAACGTCGAAGAACATCAAAATAATTTCAATAATGCACATCATGAAAGACAAACACGAAATAAGGAAATGATTACGGATCCATTTAAATTAACCGATCGGTTATTCATAAAAAACTTTCGACTCACTAAAGACGTTGTAAAAGATTTAATTATCCTATTAAGTCCCCATTTATCAAATTCTTTCCGTTCATCTGCGATTGATCTGAATACTAAAGTAAGACATAGCCATTGATAGGGAAAGGATTTGAATGCAATTGCATTTTTTCTGAATGTCCAAAAACATTGCCAAACATTCCAAGCACAAAGTTAATTTCATACATCAATGAATTAAAAAATGTAACTTAAATAGTACTTTTAAGGTATTTTTCATGTTTTTTAGAGTATTCAAATCCATAAGCGTGCGCAGAATTTCTGGCAGGGTAGTCATACATAAGTATACATAAGTACATAACACATTTGACATTCACACACACACACATATTATGTATATATAATATTCATATTCACACCTAAGTTACAAAAACTAATTTTGATGGAGTAACCTCATTTAACTACATTTACCATAGTGAAAAAGTATTTTATGATTGACTATCAATTATCATAATAATAATATTGAATATTGAAGGGGGCCAAAGGAGTTCGCAGAGTAGTCAAGTGCCTACCATGACTACTCCGTGCGCACGCTTATGTTCAAATCCATTTCCTAGTCATTATATTATTAAAATGGGAATTTTATTTAATTTTTTTATATAGGTAATTTTTTATACTACCTACTATACTGTATATTATTAATCAATTATGGTTTACCTATTTTTAATTTTCATAGATTTTTGTAACTTTAAATTTTTTGGCTACGGGCTCTTACCAATCGCCTATTGGTAACAGTAGATTTATGGGTCTATCCCAACCTTCTGTATCCCGCTGTATCGGTGAAGTTGTGACTGCATTAAACCTGCCCGAAATATTTAATGCTTGGGTTAAGTTTCCAAAAAATATAAATGAACTCAATGATATCCGTAATGGGTAAGTTTTAAATTTAAAAAAAAATTTGTTTGGCATGTTTTTAAATTATATATCATTTAGTTTCTACAGGAATGCTGGATTTCCTGGTGTTGTTGGGTGTATTGATTGTACACATGTGGCAATCACACCCCCTTCAACAAATTTAAATTTAAATGAAAATCAACATCCCGAATACATATATGTTAACCGTAAGGGATATCATTCAATCAATGTCCAATTGGTAATATGTTGTATTAGATTTAAATGTTAACTATTAAATTATCATCCAATTTTATTAAAATTTTGATTGGAAAATATAATTGTTTTTAATTATTTAAACATTTTTAAATCATACAATTTTTCTGTGATATCATAAACACAAATGTTTTAAACAATTCATAATCAGATCTTATTATTAATGTATTTAAATTTCTAAAAACTGTTTGTACTTCAACTAGGATAATTTAAATTGATAGATAAATGTTATTTGTAAAACATAGGAATAAACTTGTGTTAGTGCTATATATTAATAATTTGAACTTTGAACTAGATTTGTGATTCAAATTTAAAAATATTGAATGTCAACGCTTTATTCCCTGGAAGTACTCACGATACACATGTGTGGAATAACAGTAAAGTTTTACCAATTCTGCAAGAATTGCATAGACGCAATTACAATAATTTTTATTTATTAGGTAAATATTATGTCTATTGTCTAACAAGTCCCTTATTAATAATTTCAGTTTGGTATATCATTATTTATTTAAAAAATATTTTAAGGCGATTCTGGATACGCTTTGCGGCAATGGCTATTAACACCTATACCAGATCCTAGCACTGAAGCTGAAGAAAATTATAATAGAAGACAAATGTCAACTAGGAGTATAATTGAACGCTGTAATGGAGTGCTAAAAATGCGATTTAGGTAAGATTTTTTTTCAACTTTTTTTTTTTTTTTTAATGATATTTTAACAATAAACATTTATATATTTATTTTTAGGTGCTTATTAAGAGATAGGACACTGCATTATAAGCCCGAAAAAGCATCTTCCATTATAAATGCATGTGTAGTACTGCACAATATGTGTATCACAAATAATGTTCCTATGCCTGATGATCCTAATATTGAAGATCTTGATAATTTGGGTATGGTGGAAGATCAAGACATCTTGGCTGATTTTAACCGAAACATAGATTTAACACTGGGAAGACAACAGAGAAATAGAGTAATCAGATATTTATCACATAGAAATGTTATATAACTAATTACATTATATGCATTATTAATAAAACGATTTTTTGTTAATTTTTTCAACTCTCTTAAATCATAAGACAACACATAAATAAGTAATAATTTTTATTATTAAAAAACAAATTAAAATAAAATGTGTAACATATCCTTGTAAATATAAAGTATAAAATAAAAATGTAACCTTTTAGTAAATATAATAACATGTATAACTTATTAACTAAATAACTAAAAACAAAATAAAAAAAGTAATTTAAATAGCCAATCTTTGGTAAAAAAATTAATCAGTCATATAATTTATCATTAAAAATAAATTTTTCATTCTTTGGTTTCATCATACAATTTTAGACTTTTCATGTATAAAAGTAGAGACTACGGTTTCTATATTTTTTAAGATTTTATTGTTTTCTTCCATAAGTTTTAATTTTTTGTCATAATATACTGCTTTAACACGACATTTTTCCTCTGAAATTTTAGCCGGTCGCTCTGCAATTGAATTGCTTTCATCTAATTTGGCCCCAGCAGTTAATTTTCTCTTTGAATCTATAATATTATACGAAATACGAAATCACTTATAAATTTGAGCAAAACTTAAAAGGTCAAAGATGCTTGAAAAAATTCAAATATGAACTAAACTAGTTTTTTAACTAACTGTATATTTTAAACATTTTAATTGCTAAAAGATAAAAAAAAATAAAATAAACTTATTTGGAAGTTTTTACTTGGTTTATGAGCACTTGTAGTTGTTGTTAATGGTTCAAAAGTTGAAGGCTCGTAATAATTTTCATTCACAGCTTTAATGTTTAATGGAGGTTCATTATTTTCTTTCTCAGAATTACTGTAAGTGATTGTCTCTACCAACTCTTCAATACATAATTCATTAGCATCTAAAAACAATACAATACTATAGTTGAACATTACTTAACAAAATGTGAAATATATACAATAAAACATGAATTGGTAGGACTTATACAAATAAAAATATATTTAATTTAAAGACTATACTGTGTAATTATTTATGTACGATTGAATATTACTAGAATAAATGAAATATATATAAATTTACCAGTTAACACATCTTTGTCATGATACACATCAAAGTCAAACTCAACCACTGACTCTTCAGAATTAAAGTGACCGCTAACAGATGCTTGGCTGAATAAAGGTAAAATTTCCTTTTGAACTTCATTTAGTTCAATTTCGCATTTTGATCCACCACCTGTACCTTCTATGTGCCTTTTAATCGCTGCCGCTTTAGATTTTGTTATGTTTCTAGTATCTTGCCATGTCTAAAATATTACAATACAATTAATTTAAAGATAACTACTTTTTAAAAATTAAAAAGATTAATTCATAGGCTATTACTCTACTAAAAATGTAATACCTAATCAATTTAAATTAGTTTGGAGTCTCAACTTCAAATAATATTTATTTAAACATGTAAGATAACTCATTAAGAGTTTTTTAAGATAGATAACAACATTTAAGATAGTATGTAGTGGCCCTTAATTTCTTTTAATACAAGATTTAAGTTTGGTTACAGACTTTACAGTATTTTTACTCATTTTTAGCAGAGCAGAGATTTTTAGTTCAGAAAAAAATAATTATAAATACTTATAAAATTAATATCTCCACCAAACAAATTAACTTACTTTCTTCCACTTATTCCAACTCTTCTCCGCACCTGGTAATGCATTTAATTGAATAGAGATGCTTTCCCATCTTTGTTGAGCAATTTTATGTGTAAAACTTTTAGTAAACTTGCCCGAACACAATTGTTGATCATTGGCCATTAGATCAACCAAATACCTCATCTGGGTTTGAGTTGGTCTCACTTTAGTGTCTTTAGACATTATAATGTTAAAAATGGTAGTATGGTACTTATAACAAAATAAACAAAAAAAAAATATAACAAATACTTAACTGTAAGGTTGTAAAGTTAATCACGGTTTAGAGACTAGTACTATCTAGTACTATCTAGTACTTCTTATTTAGAACTAGTAAATATTATGTAGAATTCCGGATTATTTGAGGTTAAAATCTAGATTTTGTGTTGTTACCACAGTGGTTCATTCGGAATACTTTATCGCATACGACAAGTGATAAAATCTTATCGATTTAGTTCAAGAATACCAATTTTAAGTCGCATGCGATTAAAATTAGTCACCTTCGATAAAATCTGTGACTTTTATCACATGTGAGAATTAGTCGCATAATTTCAAGAATTGGCCCCCTGAGTATTACCACAGATTTTCATCTATTCTGTGGTATTACCATACAGTCACGCGCTTGCTTTGATAATAATTGGTGTTATCGTGTATTATTTGTTTTTACTGTTAACAAATCGTTTGTCATTTTTCGTAGTTTTCGTAGTTTTCAGTTTTTTTTTTTTGGCATTTACATAGGTATATTTACTTTTACTAATATTATAAAATACTTATAAATTTAATATGAGTAAACGGAGCATAAATAATTGTTTTAAAACATCAAATGTACCGGCTTAAGTCTCTAGGGGAGAAGAACCACTAGAAGTCCAAACTTCAGAAATACATTCGGATCTAGACACTTAAAATGTACATAGTATTTTTGACATACAGCTAATGGTTGGTAAAAAGTTTACTGATGCTGAAAAACTTCAACATCTAGAAAATCTATGGACACCAGGTAAGAACTCAATATTTCCTTCTACTCAGCATGGCAAAAAACAATTAAAATTTCAATTTGGATGGTTAGAAAATTGGAAATGGCTAGCTTATAGTAAAACTGAAGACGGTGCTTACTGCAAATATTGTGTGCTTTTTTCCAAATATAGAGGTGGAAAGGGTAGTCAGCTATTAGGCCAGCTTTGCACCGAACCTTTTAACAAATGGAAACACGCTTTAGAAAAGTTTTCTACGCACGAAAAAACTAACTACCATCAAAATAGTGTAATAGATTTTCAACAAATTTCGTCAATTGTTACAGGAAAAACCGATTATGTTTACCATCAATTAAACAAAACAGAAAAAATCCAGAAAGAAAATAATCGAAAAATAATAATCCCTGTTATTAATTCGGTAATATTGTGTGGTAGGTAAGGCATAGCTCTAAGAGGTCACCGCGATTCTGGACCACTTAATATAGATGAACCATTAATAAATGAAGGCAATTTTAGGTTATTATTAAGATTTTTTCTTAAGGCTACTACTTTATCTGGTGATGAAAGTTTTAAGTTAGCTAGAGAAAATTGCAGTAAAAATGCTCAATATATCAGCTGGAAAATTCAAAATGAAATAGTTCATATTTGTTTTGATATTATTATATAGAAAATTGTAAAAAAAATAAATGATAGTACGTTTTTTCAATAATAGCCGATGAAACGGCTGATATATCAGGTGTTGAACAATTCGCTTTATGTGCTCGTTATTATGACGTGAACGAAAAAAAAATGTGTGAGGGTTTTTTAAAATTTGTTCCAGTGGATGATGTTAGAGGTCAAAGCTTAGCAAATCATATTATTACTGAGTTAAAAGGCTTAAATATTGAAATCAAAAATCTACGGGGTCAAGGTTATGACGGTGCCGCAAGTATGAGTGGGAAATTAAATGGTGTTGCAGCTTTAATTAGAAAAGAATATCCGAGTGCATTGTACATACATTGTAGTGCTCATAATCTCAATATGTCAGTATCATATGCTTGCAATATTCAAGGAATAAGAAACACTATGGGTACTGTAGAAGCACGTTATAACTTTTTAAATACTCCGAAACTACAAAATTTTTTTAATATACATCTGGCCGAGTTGAAAAAAAAAGAAACTTCTTCAAATAAACAAAAACTTAAAAGGCTTTGCCCAACTAGGTGGGTTGAACGTTATAATTCAATAGAAACGTTCAATGAATTTTTCCCTGCAATTATTTATTGCTTGGAAGAAATGATTACATGGAAAGAAATTGATACATCGAGTAAAGCTAATCAACTGCTTTTGGCATTGCAATCTTCTGAATTTAATGTAGCCCTCAGTATTCTCAACCACATTTTTCAGTATACACAGTCTCTTTGAAAATATTTACAAAGTACAAATATTGATTTGGTGGTAGCTGTTAATCATATTAATCTAGTAAAAAATTAATTAAGTTGTATAAGGGAAAACGCCATAACTGAATTTAACAAATTATTTATTAATATTAATAAAATATTAAACGATTTTGAACTTACTATTCAAATGCCTAGATTAGCTAAGACTCAAAAATACCGAGATAATATTCCGACAAAAGATCCCGAAGAATATTTCTTCAATTTCAATTCTTTAAATATGTTATTTACTCCTATTGTTGCTTTGTGATGAACATTGTCCCAAGTGTTGCTGGAGAATAAAAGGCAGGTGTCATCAGCATAAGTGGTAATTAGACCATCAATACTTAAGTTACAAATGTTGTTTATATATAGGATGAACAAAACTGGACCTAAAACACTACCCTGGGGCACTCCATATTTGATAACTCCCTCATTGCTTAAGACGCCATTAATCGATACCACTTGCTTTCTATTCATTAAATAATTTTCGAACCACATAAGGCTATCTTTTGTTATTCCGAAACTAGGTAAGATTTTTAAAAGTTCTGCATGATTTACTGTGTCGAAAGCTTTTGCCAAATCTAAGAAGACTGCTATTATTTTTTTATTTTGGTCCAGCTCCTTGTATAAACATTTTATCGTAGTATATAGAGCTCCAGTCGTGCTTTTACCAGGACGAAAACCAAATTGATTTTTGGATAATAGTTTATTCTTTTCTAGGAATGTTATTAGTCTGGTTTTTATAATTTTTTCAAAAATTTTTGAGAAATTACAGAGCATAGATATAGGTCTATAGTTGCTAATATTCTCTTTATTTCCAGTTTTATATAAAGGTTTCACGATTGCAATTTTAAATTTATCCGGGAAAATACCTTGTTTTAAGCATAAATTTAGTATTAATATGAGTGGCTCTACTATGTAAGGCGCAATATGTTTTACAAGCTTGACCGATAATTTATCAAATCCAGCTGCAGTTTTATCTTTAAAATTATTTATTATATTAAGGACCTCTGTTCTTTCTATAATTTTTAAGAAATCTTCATTAAAAGAAACATTTTGAGAATTTGAAATATTTTCATTAATGTTATGCGTATTATTTTTGAATTTAGTAGCTAAGTCTTCCCCAATACCTAAGAAAAAAGAGTTGAAAATATTAGCTGTATTTAAAGGGTCTACTTGGGTGTTAATTATTTAACCATTGCTTTCAATATTATTCTTGAAAATTTCATTACGTATGTTAATACTATTTTTTGTTATATTATTAATTAATTTCCATGTAAGTTTTGGGTTAGTACTTATATTAGAAAATTCCGATTTGTAGAAACTTATCTTTCTGGCTCTTATTAATGTAGTAAAATGATTTCGATATTTAATGTAATACTGACGTAATTTTATATTGTTAGGATGTTTACTAACCATGTTGGAAAGGTCGTTTTTACGACGTGCTGAAGTTAAGAGTCCTTTAGTCATCCATTCTTTAATAATTTTGTTTTTTGAATTTAACTTTACTACAAAACTGGATTTATCAATAGAAGTGTTTAATTTTGTATAGAATATATCAATTAATTCATTTACATTAGTTGAATTATTAAGGAAAGACCAATTTTCTTGTTTTAGGAGCGTACATAAGAGGTTGTAATTAAAATTTTTTTTAATAATTGTGTTTTCATACTTAGGCCTGCTTGATATTGGCACTGCCGTAAAAATAGAAAAATGGTCTGTAATAAATGTCTGAATAACTCCTGCTACAATTTCATTTGAATTTATATTATTTGTTTTGATGAAGATATGATCCAAACACGAATTCATGCCTGTCAGTGGTATTCTAGTGTATATATTTACAAATGATTTGTAACCGTATTCGGCCAACATATCAAGATAATCATTATTAGTGTTTCCTAGAATATCAATGTTCATATCACCTATTAAGAACGAATAACCTTTATCGGAGTTTTCATTATCAAAAATATCACCTAAATTGGTAATGAAGTCATTAATGTTACCCGCTGGTGACCTATAGACACAGTATAGTAGTAAAGGTGTATTATTTATACATAAAGACAATTTAATGATATTGCTTTCAAGATAACCGAACTCAACTAAATTAACCGATAAGCTACACTTAACGAAAATGATCACACCGTCATTTTGATTTAGTGGTTGAAAAATAAGAAGTATAATTAGGTATCGTATACTCGCAGTCCTCTACATTATGCCATGTTTCCAGCTAATATTTATACAATTTTAGTAATTGAGGTTTCATTATCAATAATAATTAATTTTGAATTGTCATCTTTTTTGCAAAAAATTGTATTGTTCTTAAACCAAATATATTTGTAACCAACCTGTTTCGCTGCCGTTTTTGTTTTGAAAAATAAATTTCTAAACGTATAAGTCATTTGATCGTTAAAGTATATTGCCGCGCCAATCCATGTCGAGTCCACATCTTTCACTGATAGTTTCTGTTTTTTCGCTATTTCCATAAAGTTATTTTTTTCATTCACCGAATTAAAGCATACGGATAATTTTCTAGGTTTATCAGTAAATTTAGAAGGTAGCCTGAACACCTTTTTGGTTGTAACATCAGAACCCAACTTAGTTACAATTTTTTTTATAGTATTCATACAAATTTCGTTATCAATCTCGGGTACACCTACAATTTCCATATGGCACTTCAACGATTTTTGCTCCAATTTGTTCAAACGCCCGGATACTGCTGCCATTTCTTTCTTTAAAAATGCATTTTCATTTTTTGCGTATTTAATGCGTAAAACTAGGTAACATAACCACAAAATAGCGATTCATTTTATCCACAGATTTCTATATATTACTAGATAGCGAACTCCGGTCATGAATTGATGCTTCAAGGTCGGTTGGCAATTGTATGGTATTTCATATGACAAATAAGATGATATTATGATTTATTTTGTATCGTAATTTATTATTTTTAAACATTTAGTTTACAAAAAAAAAAATATATTTTATATAAGTCATTTTGGTTCTGGGTCAATCGACCGGGCGGCCCCCTATTCGGCCAAAATGTACCCTTCCCTTTTCGGCCAGTGTCACTTTTCGGCCAACACTTCCCCTACTATTTTCGGCCACTGTCACTTTTCGGCCAAAACTTACCCTACTCTTTTCGGCCACTGTTCCTTTTCGGCCAGCATAATTTTCTTTAAAATTTACAATTTTAACAACTGAACATATTATTACATTTGTTAAATTAAAAATTAATTTTTGTTTGACAAATTTTACTATTTATGATGTAGTCCTCACTCTTCAATGCAAGTTTAATTTCGTTTATAGTTGGTTTTTTGGAAGTAAAGATAAACCAGCGTTATTTCTTGTTTGACATAATACAATGTAAAACGCTATCTAATCAGTTATAACTTATAATGATGTGTCTAAAGTATAGGCAATAGAGTATATAGTAGTAATGCCAAAATGTTGTAACTTATCGTTTATATCTTATCTAATATATTATATTACGAAAAACCAATTATATGTTATTTTGGACATCAATTTAACACGACACACAGGCACACACACACACACACACACACACACATTGTATGAAACAGTTATATAAACACTCAGTACAAAAGTGTTCTAGCATACGTACCTATACTTTTTAGTACCTACCGAGTCGTGAGACATTTTTAAAATTTAAATTTAAAAAACATAAAAATAATTTATAATGGCTGAATTCATTGAAAGTAACCGGGGAAAGTGTTTATTAATTTTTGAAAATTATAAGTTTTCAAAAGCCAATACAAAATTGGACCTCACAAGTCGTTGGAAATGTATTAATCGTAAGTGTGCGGCTAGATTACATACAAATCAAACAAATACAATTTGTTCCGAAAACGAGAATATAATACACATAAACCATGATCATGATCCATATACAAGGAATTTAATTGATCGTCA